GTGAACTCAAATCTCCACCACTGGATCGATTTGGTATTTGGTTACAAGCGGCGGGGATAACCAGCAGTTGATGTAAGATTTAACTTCAAATAATTGTTAAACCAGTTGCAGGTTTTGAATTTCACTGAATTTTGGGGATATTGTTGTACAGGCAACAATCATTTTTTGTTATTTGACATATCAAGGGGCTGTGGATGTGGATACCATGGATGATGAATTGCAAAGGTTGGCAATGTTGACGAGAAATGGGTGACCACCCAGTTGCAATTCAGTGGGAACTTCACCTTCTCTGGCTCACAGATAAAGTTTTATAGCAATAACAAGGTAGAGCATTATGATTAGTTAGTCATTGTTTAAGTCATTTTTAACTTTCTTGCCGGATCCATTTTTGGTTCTGATGTCCGTCCTTCCTCGGAAAAATGGGAGTCCTTTGGCTGAAATTATTGAGCTTACAGCACAATGCTTTGGAACATTACCAATAAATTGCACATCAGTTACCCTTATTCCCAAAGTGAAGAACCCAACATCAATAAAAGAATACGGGCCAATTTTCTGCTGCTCTACCCTATACAAGCTAATATCAAAAATGCTGACAAAGAGACTAAGGATGGTCATGAACACATTGGTGGATGAGAGTCAGGCAGCTTTTGTACCTGGGAGAGGCCTCATGGATAATATACTACTAAGCCATGAACTGATAAAAGAATATGGGAGGAAAGGGATCTCACCTAGATGCATGATCAAGGTAGACATGCAAAAAGCATATGATTCACTTGAATGGGTGTTTTTGGAACAGGTGCTTGATGGATTATGCTTCCCTGCTAAGTTTGCTGGATGGATTATGGAATGCATCAAAACAGTGTCCTATTCTATCAATGTTAATGGCAGTCCTACTATTCCATTTGATGCTAGAAGAGGGGTGAGACAGGGAGACCCTATGTCTCCACTATTGTTTGTCTTGGCAATGGACTATCTGACAAGAAGTTTGAAGAGCCTAAAAGAACAACCTAACTACAATTATCACCCAAGATGTGAAAAATTGGGTATTATCCAGCTCAGTTTTGCTGATGATCTGCTTCTTTTCTGCAGAGGAGACAAAGTATCTGTGCAATTATTGTATGAATGTTTCAGCAGCTTCTCAAAAGCTTCAGGTCTAGTGGCAAACCAAAATAAGAGTAGCATCTATTTTGGAGGAGTCTCAACAGAAGTACAACAAGAGATTACACATATCACAGGATTCAGCATAGGTGAACTGCCCTTTAGGTACTTAGGTGTTCCACTAAGTACTAAAAGGCTATCAGTAAGCCAATGCCAACCACTGTTGGATAAAATGCTAGGGAGAATAAGACAGTGGACAGTGAAATTTCTGAGCTATGCAGGAAGGTTACAACTGATCAAGAGTGTTCTAACTGCTATACAGTCATTCTGGTCCCAAATTTTTCCTTTGCCAAAGAAAATCATACAACAGGTGGAAGCCATATGTAGAAAATTCTTGTGGACAGGTGATACTAGCTCAAGCAGGAAGGCTCTAGTAGCATGGAACAAATTGTGCAGGCCAAAAACCAAGGGAGGTTTGAATATCACAGACCTTAATACATGGAATAGGGCAGCTATATTGAAACATTTGTGGAACTTGGGAAAGAAGAAGGATAAACTGTGGATCAAATGGGTACATGCATACTACTTAAAGGGAAGGGAGCCATGGAAAGTTGATGTAAAACAAGCTTTCTGGATCATGAGGAAGGTATTACAAGCTGGAAAATACTTAAATGAAGCAGGGTTGGACACCGGAAGGGTAATGCAGAGTAACTCGTTTTCCATTAGAGATATGTACATACAACTAAGAGGGAACTTCCTGAAGGTAAGCTGGAGTCGACTGATGTGCAATAACAAAAGTTGTCCAAAGTGGAAATTTATAATGTACCTGGCACTACAGGAAAGTCTATATACAAAGGATAGATTGAGGAAATGGGGAATGCAAGTCAATCCAGAATGTGCTTTGTGCGAACAAGAGATGGAGAGCCACAACCATATCTTCTTTACCTGCTCGTTTTCTGAAGCTGTATGGAGTAGGATACTTAGATGGCTGAGCATCAATCGTAAACCAAAGTGTTGGAATGAGGAGATCAAATGGGCAACAGAGCAAATGAAAGGCAACGGTACCAAATCTGTATTGTATAGGCTGGGAATGACTGCAACAGTATACCATTTATGGCTGGAAAGGAACAGAAGAATTTTTCAGAAGACTAAGAGAAATAGTGATGATATTACTAAACAAGTAGTTAGAGATATTCATTGTATATGTGATAGGCAAAGTAGTTTGAGGAATAGTATGCAAATGCTTAACTATTATCCTTAGAGTAGGCTTTGAAGTAGTTTGATACTAAGTTTGGGGATGAATGTCTAAACTTAGAGATATACGTGTATATATTTTACGTAGAATAAAGTAAATTACCAAAAAAAAAAAAAAAGATGTGCTACCTATGAAAACAACTTTCAATTTATATGGCTAACTAATGGCAGAATGGTGCTGAGCGTTAGACAACATAAAGATTGTCTAATTGGGTGCTTATAGTATTTTTCTGGTGAAAATTGTTGCAAAGCAACTTGTTAAAAAATGGTAAAACATCACAGTTGATATGTTACAGTCAAAATCGGAAAAGGGGGAGGGGGGATGTAGAAGCTCTACCTAAATTTTCGATGCAAGAAAGAGCATAAAAAATAATAGCATTTTGGCATTTGAGTTCACAGATTGGTGCAATTTGGTAACTTGTATTTGGTATGTTGGAAGGATAGACTCAGTTCTCTATTCTGATTTGCTATGTTAGTTATAATTTCAGTGAGATCAATTAAAAATCATATTTAGGGTTATTCCTGCAAGTCCTTGTTGTCTGTACTCATAGAGGTTTAACTATAAATTTATTAATCCCATATCTGCAATATCATAACTTCCAAGAGAAATTAAATAAATGAAGTATAACCTGATCTATTTATGAGAACATGCTAAGTCATCCTTCATGGTGTTTATAAAGGTTTTGCAGATACCTCAGCAGCATTAACTGAAAATAAAGCTAAATTTCATACATCCAGAATTTCTGCCGGAGTGCGAGTAGCGACTGCATTACTTAGAATTTTAGCTGCTATTGGATTCTGTTACTTTTTTTCCAAGATATGGCAGAAGAAGAAAAGGGAAGAACAGCAAGCTCGCCTCCTAAAGCTCTTTGATGAAGATGATGATCTTAATGTTGAGCTTGGTATTCGGGATTGAGATTATATATTCTCCTTCTATAACAAAGTGCATTTTAGCAGAGGTGCCAACACTGCCATTTTCCAAAAAATTGTGTTTATTTCTTTTTAGTTTGTCTCAGCGAACAAAATTTAGTCTTTGCATGTGTATAGTTTAAGATGATTTAATTTTAGCTTGTAATGTATTTTCTTATGTTTGTACAGATCACGTCTCCTACAATTAATTTTAGAAACTGTTTCTGCTGAGTATTGCTTCCTTTTCTGCGGGCAGCATGATGATGCCAAAGGTTTTTTATTGGTCGACATCTACAATTCGAGCAATCTATAAAAGTTTAACAGAGATTTCCAGTTCAATTGGAAGTATAGACACACTACAAATGTCCAACAGTTCTATCACAACAATATTTATACATCACTAAAATATGACACTTTACACCGTAAATGAATCAAGAAAAAAGATAACAGCTAGATTGAACGAACCACAAAATCATTGACCTATTAACAATTATGACAAGGCTTTATCTTCATAAAGTTCCATAATTCACAGAATGTGACATATAAGAAATCAGGTAAGCCTGAAAACTTGAGTTTTCCTTGTACGCACTGAAAAGTCAGGACATGAAAAATATTGGAACAAAAAGGAAAGAAAACTCTTTGCAATAGCGAAAAATGGTGAACGTAATCAAAATTTAACAGAAACTCATTTATCTATTCATGCTTGGCCAAAGCTTTACTTTGACGAAGTTGCACAATTCAAATATAGAGTGACATACAACAAGGTACAAAGTCAATATCGTTTAACAATTTTTTTAGCACAAGTTTCACTATAACACAACCTACAAAGTGCATAGCAACACCAAGAATCATACATCGAGAGTAAAAACCAAATAAAATATTTTGATAGTACTAAAGAAAAATAGTAGAACATAGAAAAAGTCTTGACGTGTGATACTAGCACATTTTAAAGAAAAACTGATAACTTTGACTTTTGAGGCAGCGCAGATTATTTAGCTGAGATGCAATTAAGTATCCATCTTATTTGAAATAAAATTTATCGTTTTTCAATATCTGATTTGAAATGAATAAAGATTCATATAACAATTAATATATGGAGAAGTTGTAATTTTTAGAAAAGAATTCAACCTTCTAGAGTATATATGTTCCTTTGTAAATTAACAGTAAAAAAAATTTAAAAAAAATCTATTCAAGTATTTTATAATAGGAAACTTATCATTTGAGCACTTTGTGATAAGAAATCAATGGACATGTATTTAAAAGTTAGGGATAATGCATAAAATCCACCCCTACCTATGACTCATTTACCAATTACATACCTTTTTTTTCCGGGGGTCCTATTACCCCCCTGAACTTACTTTTACCATAATTTATTTAACATTATATGCTCAATTAAACCCGACCGTGACTACACCTCTTACAAGCGCGTGAGGCCTAATTTTAAAAGGCTCGTTCTCTATTCAATCGCCACGTGTAATGTCAAATAAGCCATAAGAAAGGGTCCCAAACGTTAAACTCAGCTATTTTAATTGAACCCATTATCTTATCCCTCTTTCTACACTAAAAGGCTATCTACCATTGTTGAAGAAATTTTGCTGCTGCTGCTGAAATTGAGGTGAGTTTCAATCAATAGAGCATAAAATACTAATCTTTAATTAGTCAATTCGATTTCATAATCTTTATGTTAGGGTTTGATATTTCTTCCCCAATTTTTATATTTTAGGAATTAGGGTTATGAAATGGCAAATATCAACTTGAATAGACTTTGTATGGACGATGAAGACCCAATGCTCAATGTTCAAGTGCGATGTAAACATGGAATTTCGCTGCAAATGCAGACTTCTTGGTCGAAGCGTAATCCTGGCCGAAGATTTTGGTCTTGCCCCTACTATGGTGTATGTGTTCATTTCTAACCCGTCTATTGTGGTTGATTAGCTTTGTATGTTGTCATTAAATTGATTCCAATTTATAAAATTTTCAGGCGAAGAGTTGCAAATTTTTTCAATGGAGGGACAATGAAGTTGACGAAAGATCGAAGTTTATTCTTCCAAGATTGTTCGACAAAATTAAAGAGATGGAAGAAGATTTGGCACATTATGAAAGCCTCAAGATGCAGTTGGTTGAGCTTGAAAGTCTGAAAAATGCCAACATTAGTTTGGTTGTGACTGATGATGAAAAAGATAAGGGGGCAAAAGAGAGAAAGAAAAGGACCTGGTGTTGGCTTAATAGGAAGTTCATTTTGTGTATTGTGTTTTGTCTTTGTTGTTATGTGTTGATCAAATGAAGCTGTAATACTTGCTGCAGTAGTAGATGTTATGTGAGTTAGCAATTATCTAGAAGTGTTTGGTTATGGTTGTAACAACTCTTTTTTTTGTCATTGTGGTATGTAACTTCATTTTAGTATATGCTATATGGAAGTTAATTATGTATCAATTGCACTTGCCATGATCTATTCCTAGATTCTTTCAACTTCTATATATAAGTCACACTGAGGTTTTATGTAAATGGTAAGACACCACTGAATTTCATAGAAATATAGCTGCCACATTTCATAAATACCACCAAAATTAGTCAACAAAACATTAAATGTACTAAGGCAACATTTAAAGACTAATACATTATCGTTCTAATAGGATAAAAAAAACTCCAGATTGCAGTCAACAAAAACAACCAACTGTCTGGCTTAGGATATACAATCAAATCTATTGGGGATGTGCAGAACTACTATTCTGGCTTAGGTTGTTTGATCCACCAGTCCTTGTTTGAATTCTATGTTGCCCTCTAATCTCTTGAAGCCTTCTTGTTGTGATTGTCGGTTTCCCTTTCCATTTCAGTCCACTACTTCGTTTGAAACAAATGTCACCAGTTACATCAGCTGATCTTATTATCATTATTGGTCCAGTGGGCTCTATTTTGGTACTTGGTGTGGCTACTATTCTATTACTTGGCATGCCAGGCTACAGAGAAAGAATAAGTAAATAAGTTATCACAAATATACGAAATATATTGAATACCACAAAGAATATACACTTACATTCAAAGTTTTGAAGCCCTTTTCAGCTTGAAACACACCCATTACCATCACTTTTGGCCTTTTAAATTATTTTATATTTTCCACACCTTTTCCCCTTCCTCTATTTAGTGTAGCAGTAGAGGCATTAGGTGCAACAGATGCATTAAGTGATGATGATGTATTAGGTGCAGAACATTCAAACCAACTGGCTAGTGAATGATAAGCAGCAGATGTATTAGGTTCTAAGTGAGTTGCATTTCAAGATCCTCCTCTTCCCCTACCTCTACTAACTGTTGTTGTTACATTCTTAGATCCTCCTCTTCCCCTACCTCTACTAGTTGCAGCAGATGTTGCATTAGGTGCAGCAGATGTTGCATTAGATCCTCCTCTTCCCCTGCCTCTTCCCCTTCCTGTACTAACTGTTGCAATAGGTGCAGTTGATGTAGTAGCAGTAGCAGATGTTACAGAAGTTGAAAATTCAGCAGCAATAGAGGCATTAGGTGCAGTAAGTGTTGATTTTCTAGGTCTTCCTCTCCCTCTTTTTGCAGCAGGTTCATCTTCTACATTTCTTGGTTTCTAACAAATAATAAACAGTAAGATATAGTGTTTGAATTTAAAAGAAACAGGATACACTTAGTTATACTATATTACCTTTGGTCTGCCTCTATTTCTTCCTGAACATGATGCTTCTGCAGCAGTAGAAGTTATATTTGATGGTGCAGCAGCAGTTCCTGAACCTGATGGATCTGTAGCACTCTTATGACACCCCCTCTTGTTGTGACCAACACCCTTGCAGATGCTACACCTCATGACAAGTCCAGTTTTAGGCAACTTTCCACATTTTTTGGTTTCAGTTGCCTCTTTTCTCCTAACCTTCTTGGGCCTGCCAGACATACTTTTCACCACTGGTGGTGCAACAGGAGGGTTAGTAGATGCATGCCACATTTTCATATTATTGAGTGGTTGAAGGAAGTGAGAATAAGTCATCAAATATGTCTCCTTCATGTAGCAGTTATCAACATAGTCAGCCGGTTCATACCCTTTATAGTACATTGCAGCTATGGCATGTGGACATGGTATCCCCTTCAACATCCAAGCCCTACAACTACAAATATTATTTCTTAGGCAGACAGTATGTTGATTTGTTTATTCCTTAACCTGATATCCTGTATCTCCATTAAAAAAAATTGTACACCTCATTGACTTTTCAATATTTTCCTCTAAGACCTTTAATGCCATTGGAGAAATGTTGCATGACCAAGTATTTGCAAATTCCCTTAACGTAGGTATTCTAGTCATCATCTTGACTCTTATTTCTTCAAGCATGGTAATAATGGTCTTGGGCCTTGCAGCTAGGATCCATGCATTAAAACTTTCAGCCATATTATTATCTACTGCATCACGCTTGACTTCCACATTAAAATACACCTTACACCAAGTCTCTTTGTTATAGTATAAAAGATCATCAACTATGTTCTTACCAAGCATACTGAGTGCTTTAAGATTTTTCTTGAGTTCAGCTTCATATGTTGTCACGACCCGGATTTTCCACCCTCGGGAGTCGTGATGGCGCCTACTAATGAGAGCTAGGCAAGCCAAATTTAATTATTTTTCATTAATAACATAATTCCTTTTAACAATTATCGGCAATAATACAAAAGCAACGAATTAAATAATAAGCGAAAGTCTCAATATTATAGAAAACTGAATAAAAATGCGAAAGATCTCAACAAAAGCCTCTACCCAAGACTGGTGTCACAGCTTCACAGACGGTCTAAGAATACTACACATAAAGGTCTGAAAGAAATAAACTCGACACTGTCTCCAGAAATACATGAAAGAAACAGGAATGTAGATGAAAGGAGACGCCAGGGCCTGCGAACGCCTGCAAGGCTACCTCGGGTCTCGCTGGACTGAAAGCCTGCTCCCACACTACTGCTGCTGCTGTCCGAAGCCTGGATCTGTGCTAAATAGCACAGAGTGTAGTATCAGCACAACCGACCCCATGTGCTCGTAAGTGCCTAGCCTAACCCCGGCGAAGTAGTGATGAGGCTAGGACCAGACCACCAAATAAACCTGTGGAGATATATATACAAGTACAACGGAGACGTAGCAAGAAAAATAATAATTTAAGCTGGGGAAGGGAGCATGCTTCAGGGGCAACAGTTAGAAATAGAATTTCAGGAATAATAAAGCGTACATCTACAATTTAACTTCTAGCAATAAATGAAGAGATAAGGCAACTTTCATATTCAACTCATCTTGTTGCAGGCGTGCAATCCGATCCCATTTCTCAATATCTCGTGGTAGGCGTACCACCCGCTCCCATTTCAATATCACTCGTGGTAGGCGTACCACCCGCTCCCATTTCAATATCACTTGTGGTAGGCGTACCACCCGCTCCCCTTCCACTAAATCAACAGTTCCTCCAAAAGAAAATTTACTCTAACAGACGCAACAATTAATACGAGTTCATAAGACAACAAGTACACAAAATTTATGATTCACTAAGGAAAACAAATAATGACAAATAGCAATTAATTATGGATTATAAGGGGGCAATTAGGCAGTTTAGTAATTAATACATTGAATGTCGCGTAGCAGTTAAGTCACATAAACATGTAGTAAGGCATAAATTCAAGACATAACGTTGCGCAAGGACACCTTGGTTCAATAATAACAAGTAACACGATAAAGGAAAATGTCAACATAAAGGATCATAGAAATAGTGGAATAAGACATTTAATGCACTTGAACTGATAACAACAAGAAATCATAGCAAACTGCAATAAGTGCACGGCATCACCCTTCGTGCTTTTACTCTCATCCTCACCAAGCAATGATATCGTAAAATGTGCACGGCATCACCCTTCGTGCTTTTACTCTCCCTCCTCACATATAATCAATAGAATTGGCACGGAATGGTACATCGTGCGGCACGGCATCACCCTTCGTGCTTTACTCTCTTTTCCTTACAATAAGCAAACAGTGCACGGCATCACCCTTCGTGCTTTACACTCTTTCCTCACAAGAAACAACAATGCACGGCATCACCCTTCGTGCTTTAACACTCTTCCTCACCCAATCAACAATCACAAACAAGGGCAAGGGAATAAATAAACAATAATGGAAATCCCGGCAAGGGAACACAAACAAACAAATAAAACCCGGCAAGGGCACAACATCAATAATCTCAACGTCCCGGCAAGGGAAAATATTCAATAATCAACAAAGTCCCGGCAAGGGAATAGATCAATAACTCTTTCTCTTTCTTTCACTTTCATCTCATAGTTCACATTATCACTCGAGCCAATGCTCCAAAGATTTACTTATCTCATATACCTTCACAATTTGTATCTCAACTCGAGCCAACACTCCACGAAGTTTAAAGATCACAATTCCTTTCACAAGCTCTTTACAACATTTAGAAGTCATCAATTAAGCATGAAAGGTATAACAAAATCCAAACTATTCGCAAAATAAGGACTCACGGTCATGCTAGACACCAATGTATAGATACCCGTCACCATGCCTATACATCGTACTCGACAATCAACAAGTAGCAAATAAGACTCAACTCCTATTCCCTCAAGCTAGGGTTAGACCAAACACTTACCTCGATGCTTTGAACTCAACTCAAGCCTCAACTATAGCTTACCCCGTGATTCAACCTCCAATCCGCTCGAATCTGTCACAAGTCACTTAATTACTTTCATAAACACTAAATGAGTCAATTTGAATGCAAAAAAAATGAATTTCTCAAAATTTTGCCCAAAAATTTCAAAATTGCCCCCGGGCCCACGTGGTCAAAACCCGAGGTTCTAACCAAAATCCGGTTACCCATTCCCCCACAAACCCAAATATGTAATTTGTTTTGAAATCGGACCTCAAATTAGGGTCCATATCCCCAATTTTAGAAAAACCTAAGTTCTACCCAAAACCTCCAATTTCACCCATGAAAATCCTTGATTTTAAGTTGAAAACATGTTAAATGATGTTAATGATTGAAGGAAATGAGTAAAAATCAATTTACAATTGATTTGGAAGAAGGTTTGTTCTTGAAAAATCGCCCAAAGGAGTTGTGTTTTGAAAATGGGGTGAAAATGTCTTAAAAATCAACTAGGTATGAAAAATGCAGGTTGCAGATATGGGAATTGCGAACAATGTTTGGGAATTGCGAAATGGGAATTGCGAAAAAAAAGTTTGGGAATTGCGAACCGGGAATTGCGAACAAAGTTTGGGAAATGCGAACAAGTCTGGGAATTGCGAGA